GAAGGATCAGGCATCTGGGATGCGGACAATGGCTGCCAGGCTCAGACTGGTCTTACCTGCAAGGAATGGGTTGCCAACAACCCGGCCGCCTTCGCTGATGTTTACTTCCAGCTCAGCTCCATCAAGATCTACCAGATGGGCGAGGCCAGCAACACTACTCTCTCCACCAGCCAAATCGCCTCTTCCACTGCTGTTGCCAGCACTGCTATTGCGTCCGATGTCGTTGTGTCGAGCACTGCCGCTGCTACCGGCATCGCCACCGAGTCCGGCGCCGAGACCCACTCCGTCTCCGCTTCCGCCGGCCCCGCCGAGACCCCGATCGCCGATCTGACCACCCGCCTGGCCACCTCCACCGTCTACCAGACCAACGTCAAGACCATCACCTCGTGCGCTCCCACCGTTACCAACTGCCCTGCCCGCGAGACTCCTCAAATCGTTACCGAGGTCGTCCCGCTGACCACCACCATCTGCCCCGTCGTCGACGTCCCTACCACTATGACCGTGTCCAAGACCGAAGTCCACACCATCACTTCCTGCGCGCCTACGGTCACCAACTGCCCTGTCGGCTCCAAGACCACCATCACCAAGGAGGAGGTTATCTCTACCACCGCCGCCATCCCCGTCGAGAGCTACACCAAGCCCGCCGCCGGCACCACCACCCAGGCCGAGAAGCCCGTCATCACCGCGCAGCCCCCCGCCGGCCAGATCACCACCTACAAGACCAACATCGTCACCATCACCTCCTGCCCTCCTACCGTCACAAACTGCCCCATCGGCAAGGAGACCACCGTCATCACCAGCGAGGTCATCCCCGCCACCACGGTCGAGGGCGAGAAGCCCGTTCCCGTTACCACTCAGGCCCCTGACGTCCCCATCGTCCTGACCACCTACAAGACCGAGGTCCACACTATCACTTCATGCGCCCCTACCGTCACCAACTGCCCTGTCGGCAAGGAGACCACCATCGTGACCAGCGCCGTCATCACCACCACTGCCCCCGCTGCCGGCGTCCCTGTTACCAACGTTCCCCAGAACCCCGCTGTCCCCGGCTCTGAGACGCCCGCTGTTCCCGGCGCCGAGTCCCCCGCCACCACTGCCCCGGTCGTCCCTGGAAACGGCGCCACTACCGTCAGCGTTCCTGCCGCCGGCCAGACCAACTCCGCCGAGAAGCCCGTAGCCGAGACCCCTGTTGACACCGCCATGCCCACCACTCTCGTTGTCGCCCCCTCTTCTCCTTACAACGGCACTCTCCCCACCGGTCTCTTCCCCACCGGTACCGCCGCTCCCTGCATCGGCTCTGCTTGCCCTGCTACTACAACCGGCCCCGTTCAGGCTGGCGCGGGCAAGCTCAGCTCCGGCGCGTTCTTGATGGCCGCGGCATTGGCTGTCTTTGTCATCTAAGTGAGATGAAGACATGATGGATATTATTGTGTGTTTTTCCTTTATCTGGTCTTCCTATGTATTATAAATATGGTTCCTCTAGAGCGCATATACCCTTCGGTTAGATTGGGAGGGTGGGACGAAACCCCGAAAACGCGTCCCAAAACAAAATTTCACCATTTACAATGATACCCATTCGTCTTTAGCGGTGACGTGCTTGATATCTCTGTCCTTCCACACCTTCAAAGATTTCATTGGGATGCGTGTCATGGAAGTTGACTCCATCATGGGGGCAAATGGAGGGAGACGTCATCAATGAGTTCGGCCAGTAAAGAGCAACATAATTCTATGACATAAGTCCGAAGTCATGGTGGCGTTCATTGTGAGAAACATAGAGATCAAGGACCACGAAAAAATAACGTCGCTTATCGTCGTTTGGCACCTACCCGTCTTGGGGACTATATTGTGACTTTGTCCCCATGACTCTGCATTCCACAACCGGAACCTTACTTATTTGGACAGACTCAATTACCAAAAACAATATCATCCGCAATCTTCTCTGCCAGCGCATAAACAGCAGACTGTGGATGTCCAGGAACTGCAAAAGGAAAGGTGCTTGCATCCACAACCCTCAGCCCCTGAACGCCAAATACCCTCCCATGATTGTCAACGACCGCCTTGCCGGACTGAACATCCTCTTCCCTGCCCATTGCGCATGTTGAAACCGGATGCCATACCTGGCCGACATTAGCCTTGACGTATTCCAAGATCTCTTCATCGGTCTGCACCGCGTCTCCGGGAAGTCCTTCTGGGCCGGCTTTGAAGCCTGGGGTGTTGGCGAAGTCTGAAGCCCATGCTGTGCGGAGACGCTTAACGGCCGTCACGGCAAGCTCAATATCTGCTGGGTCAGAGAGCCAGTTCAGGTTGATTTTAGGTGGGGTCTTCAGTACTGAGGGCGATGAGATGGTAACATTGCCTCGGGAGAAGACTAGGGGAAGGTATGCGGCGAGTGTGCCGCTGGTCTGCCCCGGACCTGTCGAGAATGAGCCCACGATGAACGAGAGCTGCGGCCAATCCAAAGGGACCGACGCGAGTTTATCGCGTGTATCTTGCGTGAGCTGGGCGAGTGTTGAGTTCGGTAGGCGCTCGTGGGCCAAGAACCCAGCAGCCGAGCTGTACGGCCCACTTCCAGATTTGAGATACTCTTCAATAAACATTGAGTTTAGCGTTGGATCTGCAGTCAGCGACTGCGCCGAGGGCGTGCTAACAGGGTACGCGACGAAGATCTGAATGGGATCTTGGAGGTTCTGTCCTACTCCAGGGACATCGGCTATCACCGGAATCGACAACGCTTCAAGGTGTTTCCGGGAGCCAATACCTGATACTTGGAGAAGTTGTGGAGAGTGAAACGTTCCTGCGGAAAGAATGACCTCCTTGCGCGCTGATAGGGTGTAGTCAACACCTTGTGAGTTGACGCTCACCCCAGTGGCTTGGGTGCCGTTGAACAGAATCTTGGTGGCTTGAGTATGGGTGTACACAATAACGCCGGTATCTTTGATTGCTTGCCGCAGGAATGTGCTCTCGCTGGTTGACCTGTGAGCTTTCTCGGGCTCAATTGTCGATGGAACCCAAGCGCCATGCCCGACAAGCTCACCGCTGCTGAAACCTTTTGGGCTAATTGTCAAGCCAAGGCTCAAAATGACTTTTGCAAGCCATGTCAAAGTCGGATCAACCCAATTGTTCCACGAAACTCGCAAAGGTCCACCGTCCCCGCTGTAATCAGAAGCATCAAACACAACGGTCGCGTTGGTATTCTGCCGTTTCTCTTCATTCGGCGGGGTGAGATGGACAGATCGTTTGAAGTACTTCAGCATGTTTTCCCATTTGAACGAGTCGTCGCCGACAGTCTCGGCCCAGAGACTGTACGAGCCCTTCGTACCACGGATGTACGACATTGTGTTGATCGCGGACGAACCGCCGAGAGTTTTGCCTTGTGCGTAGTGGACCCTCCGGCCACCCACGCCGGGGATCGGTTCCGAGACGAGCGACCAGTCCATCAAAGGCTGTGGGGTGAATTCGGGTGTGGGATCGATGAAGGCAATGCCGGTGAGAGACAGCAGAGGAACAACGCTGTTGTTGCCATTCTCAACCTCGTAGAAGCCGCCAGCCTCGACGACGGCGACGGATGCGGATGTTGCGGCAAGTCGGGATGCTATTGTGAGGCCTGCAGTGCCGCCGCCGATGACGATGTAGTCATAGCTTGCATCCCGACCGGGGTAGCCAAAAGCTGAGGAGAAGAGTCGATCCTGGGCAGCCACGAGTCCTGCAAGACTGGAGAGAAGACACTGCGTCAGCTTCATCTTAATGATCGCTTCGCCGATGGAGGCGCGCTCTTCGTAGCGGACAAAAGCGAGAAGCGCTGAGAAGAAAACATCGTAAGATACAACAGTGGGTGACTGGCATTAAATAAGACCGTTCGTGATGCACGATGATGGCAAGAATGACATGGGCAGTCGCCCATGGGATGATTTCCTCTTATGCTACTCGACTGCTCCATGCCCAGGTGAGCGAACCCCGGATAATGGGTCACTGAAGTCGGGCAGCAGGGCCCTGGATGCTTGTCCCCGCGCTGTCTTAGGTCGGTTCGGATTCTGTCGTTGCATTGAACCAACCTACAATTTCGATAGTCTTAGGGGGCCCTGGTCGGCTGTCAGCACAGGACGGAGTTCTCCTCGGGCGTTGTCATTTTCGGATACACAAAGAGTGTTGTATTGCGTGCTGACCGGATCCGTAGAGAGCAATAAATCAGGCGCGAAAGCCGGGCCAATGTTTGCAGGGCGGATGCAGGGGTCTGGCTGATACCAGTACTTGATTGCCAACGCAGCGATTGTCAACACAGCGCAAGATATACCTGTACAACCGATTGTCTGTTTCATTTGAAAGCAAAGAATGAACTTTTTATAACTGGGATTCTGTAATTGAAAATCCGTGCAACCTGAGATGAAGCAAGGTATTCGCGGCGCATGTTCCAATGAACAGCCCACTGAAATTGAGCCGTCTGACATGCATGGTGACCGCAGCCAACCATCCCAGGGCTGAAATACCTGTCGGCTAAAGTGTCGTCATACCCCAGTTCAGAAGAAGGAGAACATACCACATGACTTGCCCACCATTTGTACGTACGACTGAAGAGTTCCTCGTTTTAGGATTGCAAAATTGCCACTCGTCGACCTCCAGACTCCTGACTCGGCCGACTTCACATACGACGGGTCCTTGACCCCGTTCCCTCAACCGGTGCGCCGTTGCGGAGTGTGGACCCTCCGGCCGATTCCTCCGGCGCGGCCTGCCGTGTTCCTCTCTCCCTTCAACCGAGGATTCACGCCGTATACGCAGTCTTTAAACGCTGCCAGCCACAGTATTCAAGCATGCCTTTTCCTCGTGTTCGATTCAACCATGCTGCAAGGAATGCGTTGTGGGGGTCGATCTGCCTGGCAACCCTTGCTGGAGGCCTGATCACCTGGGCGCTCCTCTCCGACTGCTCCGGGCCCCCAGCGTCAGCTTCTCCTGAAATGATACCGTCCGAATGCAAAGCAAGAGGGGAGTTTATGAGATTCTTCAAAATGTGGCGGCCGTGGTTTTCAACGTTAAGGGAAGTCATTACCATCATCTCAAGGTTTTGCCTCAGCGCATGGGGTGGACAGCGTCTCGTTGCCGAGGGTCTCCGGTCGCTCGTACATCTTTCACCGCACGACTCTTTCACCAGAAAAATATATACTGACGAAGCTGTCACAAAACGGCTGGCCCTCATCGCCTTCGCCATTTATCCAACTGCCCTTTCCGTTGGGATGGCTACGATCTCCCTTAGTGGTTACTGCGACCCACAATACAATGCCCACCGCTTCTGGCCGCCTCATACGCGCGACGACATCAAAGACATACTTGAAAGCTGGACAGGCCTTGCGATGATTCACGTAAGGACAGGCCTGAGCTTGCAGCAAATGAACAGATGGCGCCTGAGCCTCGGGAGAGCCGTGGTCTGGGGACTGGGGATTGCAACATGGGTGACCGTCGAGATATACATGGGACCCTGTTGGTACTTCTCACGAATTTGGAAGGTGTGGTTTTCTGTTATTTGCGTATCATTTGCTACGTGGTTCATCGCGCATGCGCAAGAATTGATCGTGAAAAGTCGGAAGTCAGTTGGGACAGCACATCTAGAATTGCTAATGTATATCGGGGTCGTTTATATTGTGAGATGGGTTGATGTGGATGGACTTTGCGTCAAGCCAACATGTTGGTAGGACAACTAGCGAGTCAATGGCTCCGCTGAGGAAGGTGTATCATGGCGAGTAACACCAGCATAGTAACGCAATCCAAGGATATTGCTTGATGAACGATATTGAACTGCTATCGAAATGAAACCATATCCAACACCATGTGGCGGCGCAATCAAGAATTAAAGTGATCCTGTGCCTTGATGGCGTCACCCTCATCAATGAAATCGAGCTTTGCAATCATAAATCAGCACTGTCAGAGTCGACTCAAGTTTCCGTGACGAGGACGATTTGATGAACGGCCAGTAAAGCTTAACTCACCAAAATGACGTTGGGTATCTTTCCCCACTTCGCCTTGCAAAGCTTGACTTGTCTACTGATTGAGTCCATGGAGTTTGTGGTGTTTGCCGCGAGTCTGGTGGGAATCTTGACAGATTCTCCCTCGAACTTCGCGCCCATCTTTATATTCCAGACATGGTTGATCAGGTACATATATTTTGATTCATCGATGTGCTGTTGTGGCCGGTCGCGCTTGCAGTGAGGGAAGTTGCTGTCTAGTTCGCCATATGGTGTCTCCCAGGAGTAGCTGAACCAGTCCATAATCCACTTCTCGCGCCTAGGCTTTTCGGGGTAATCTACTTAAGTTAGCATGTTCATTACTTCAAAAACAGATATCTAAACATTATGTTGGAGCCGGGCGATTAGTACCCATGAAAACAACAAGCCTTTTCTTGTTGTCAATTAGTTGACCGAGCGTGGGCCACGAATTGACGGTAAGTTTCTTGGTTGGCGTGAAAGCAATTTTATCCATCCCGACTTTCCGAAAGGCCGTGGCAAAGTCTCTCCCGCGGATGGAAGTCGGATTCGTCAACAGTAAGGTCACCACCTCGTTAGGGTGGTTCTTCATCCAGCGGCTGACCTCTAACAAGAAGTCCTCCAACTTTCCCACATCAAGAAGCCAACACTTGGAGTGGCACATTCTGATCTCACCGTCCTTCCAGTGTGTTTGAATAGTCAGAAATCGGACGCCAATGTCAAGCTGACGAGTGACAGGGACATTCTGATTGTGAGTTATTCTATCGCCGACGAAGTTGGCGTTGTGCGAACCGACGAAAGTGACGTTTGAGTATTTCCTATTACAGAGATGTTCGTGGCCGTTGCATTTGCGAGCATCGGCTAGCCCTAAAGCTACGAGGCAGACTAGCAGATGAATGATACGCATGACGCCCAGAAGGAGGGTTGAAGAAATACAGGTGGGAGCTACGGCTGATTAGGAACTTGGGTGGAAAGAAACGCGAATCCGAGATTTCATTATAATCGAGAGGGCTAGATATGGACACGACTCTACTTGGACCTTCAGGGTGCTGGCAAGGAGTAACAATGTGGCGTGCAGGGGGCGTTTCTCGCAATTCTCAGTGGTGGAGTGCCACCGTCCGCCATTTGCTGGGTTGGAATTTGAAATCGTTGACTGCGTTAAGTCGTGTATATCCTATTTATTAATATGAACTATTTTAAGGAACGAAGCGTGAAATACGTAAAACTTCATGTGGCTTGAATAAATTTGAAGAGAAGATTCGATGTCTGGTAACCTCAATGGAGAGGCGTTAGCGATGCTAAATCTGTAGTGTCAGAATCATTCGGCAGTCAAAAGGGTGTGCCCGCAGGAGGTGACATGCCATATGAAAGTATGAAAAAGGGTAGCAGGGAAGAACGATAGCCTTGCAGAATGTCGATATTATACGTACATATGTAGCTTTATTGCAGAACTGGGCTCAACAATTTTCGCAAGGTCATGAACTCGTGACAACACGCTCTTTGGCTTAGATCTAGTGAATGACTATTCTACAGAAGATACAAAGAGTGGCAGATATCCGACAAAAGCATCCCGCACTGATAGTGTCTTTTCTCCACACGACATTCAACTTGTGAACGCTCAGCGCGGGCTGACGCGTTCTCTAGAATTCAAGAAGTATTCGCTTCAAGAGACAGAAAAGAGAACGTGTAAGAATGTCTGTCTCCATATTGCGTCAAGAGCAAGCCATTCAAAAAGGCGTTACTCCAGCGAGCTGTAACAGTCCATCGGTTTGCTCTGCCTTCTCCCATGGCTCTGAACGATTCCGAGGGTCCAGACTCCCGTCGGGCAGCCAAGCATCCAATTCTCCAAGGGTGATATCGTTGTGCGTCCGGTAGGTTGTGTATCCACATGCCTCGAACACGCTTCTTCTCGGTGAGGGCAGCCTCGGTGGCATAGTTTCGCGGCGTATATGTGACATACATGATCGTCCGAACAGTGTCGCTTTTCTCGGCCGGATCACCACTTCAATGTGCGACGCGGGAATCCCAGAAGATCAGATCTCCCGGCTCAGCTCGAACTTTGACAGGCTCGAGTCCCTCTGTACCGAAACACTCCATGTCCTTCTCCGTGAATGGAAACACGTCTTCCTTTTTCCATGACTTCGGGTCGGTCTGCGTATCGAAAAACTTGTCCAGAGCCTCGTGTGACTTAGGAACAACGACTATAGCCCGTCTTCCTGGCCTGCATGACTGAGGCTGAGAATGACTTATACACAACGCATTCCATGCTAAGGGAAACATACCACGTTACGTCGCGTGATGTCGACTGGAACACATTCACAGGTAAAACAACCAGGGACCTAAACTGCCAAGGTCTTGGGATTGGTACCTTCCATATTTAGCTAGATAGAGCGACATTAGCGAAATATTCGAGATGTTTTGATTCGAAGATAGTGAGGACTGAAAGCTGTGCCACTCGGGTAAATAGGGGGTGGCGCGCTCACTGACGGACGCGAGCGACCAAGAACAAAACGTAACTCGGGAGGCTACAGCTGCCATCCCCCACCCGAGCATTATGAGTTCTCGGGCTGATCTAGGCGACGTTTTTGGTGGTGGCGAGGACCTGGATTTCACATAAGTACTTGATCGTGATAAATTTCTGTTTGCGTAATTGAGATCCCACGTCGTGTCAGAGGCCACTCACTCTTCACAGAGGGTCGGAATTGTGCTCAACTTAAGTTCAACTCAGGGAAATCCCTAATAGGCAGGTTCTTAAGTGCATATCAAACCAACAACTTGGCCGATAGGGCCAACGGATCTTGGGCCAACATCGAGCGGTTAAATATGATGGATGACCCAGTAAGAGTGTCAACCAATCTCCCTACCACCGAGGGGTTTGTCGGAGAACTTTTATGGCAATCAGAAAATCAGACAAAACTCGACAAGATTCGGGACCAACATCTTATCTTCTTCGGATAAGTTGATTGCACCGCAAATTAATCACTTCCGTACCATCCACGACCATATCCTCTTTTTTCTGTGCTCTCCTACAATGGACATCCTCAACTCTTTTGACGGAAGGCAAAGTAGGATCTTCGACTTTACGCTGCAATTCGAAAGGAGTATTCTGTCAGTGCTTCCGGCATCTGTGGTGCTTGTCTTAGCAGTCTGCCGGTTATATTCTCTATATGCAAGGCCGCGAAGGATTCAAGGGCGGATCTTGGAAGTTTCAAAATTGGTGAGTATAGATATCCGTTGCGAATTTCTGGTGGATATTTGCTAATCACCGCACTTGAGTTCAGAGCGCCATCGCTGCTTACACGTGCCTCCAACTGGCTTCTTTGATACTATGGATCCGCTTTGAAAAAAGCCAACTTGCGGTGGCCGCTGCAGCGGCGGCCGTCCTTGACGCATGCCTTTTCCTCCCACTGTCCTGGTTCGAACATACCCGGTCTCGACAGCCATCAACGATTCTTTTATTGTACTTCACCATTTCATTGATCTTTGACATCGTCCAGCTACGGACTCTTTGGGTATTGAAGTATGAGACATCCATCCTAGGGATTTCTCTTGCATGTGTCTGTATGAAGGTATTAATATTATGCCTTGAGTCTTTCGAAAAGCGTCGTTTCAGTACGGGTGGAACATCATTCCACAACCCCGAGGAATGGAGCGGAGTGTGGAATCGAGGATGCTGTTGCTGGCTTAATCGCCTTCTCTTGAGGGGATATCGCCATAGTCTTTCCATTGAAGACTTTTATCCCTTGACCGCAGACCTGTCGTCTCGGAAGCTCGAATTAAGACTGTCGGATCATCCCAGTATTTGGGGGATTTTCTGGACTGTCATAGAGGCGTTAGGATGGTCGTCAGTCCACCCTGTAGCGCCTCGGCTATGCCTCATTGGGTTCAACCTCAGTCAGCCATTGCTTATCAAGGCCATCTTGAAATATTTGCAAGATACAAGAGCCGAGGATGTAGCACATGGGCAAGACAACTTCATGATACTGGGAACTGTTCTGCTCTACTCGGGCATTGCCGTTTCTGGAAGCATCTACTGGCAGCTGCACCTTCGAAACCTAACTAAGATTCGGGGTCTTCTTGTTGGTGCTGTCTATAAGAAGCTTACCACAGTGGCTTCTACACAACCTGAGAATGCTGCAGTTACATTGATGAGTACCGATGTCGAGAGGGTCACCCAGGGACTACGGGTATTTCATGAAGCCTGGGCGAACTCAGTCGAAGTTGTCATAGCTGTTTGGCTCTTGCAACGGGAACTCCACATGGGCTCGATTGCCCCTGTTGCGATTGCCATTGGTAAGCTAGTGGAAGGCTTGAGCACTTTGAGAGCAACCCTACTGACTTCTCCAGCATGCTCTCTAGTCACTTTGTGCGTCAACAAGTTCACAATGCCTCGTCAGAATCGGTGGATGGATGCTCTCCAGGCGCGGATCAGTGAGTTCTCATAATATTGTCAAGTAATGAACTTTGAATGATTTCTAAGACGATCACAGACCGCACGGTCTCTGTGCTTTCGCAGATTAAGAGTATCAGAATGCTGGGATTAGGCAAACAGTCTGATCAAGCATTGAACGCACTTCGCGTCAGAGAACTACAACTTGCCAACGGATTCAGGATGATGATGGTCTTTTCTTTCTGCATTGGTAAGCTCATGATGATCTAGGCTGAGATTCGACCTATTATTAACTCATTTGGTAGCTTTTGCACCCATCTTCATCGTCCCAGTTGTGTGCTTCGCCATCTATCTGACGGCTTCTCAGAACGGAAGTGGATGCAACGCCTTTGACCTTGCCAAAGCTTTTACATCTCTTTCGTTAATAGTCATTTTAACTCAGCCACTTTCAAGTCTTTTCCAGTACGTTCCGATGTTTGCTGGGGCTGCAAACTGTCTTCAACGTATCAATGACTTTCTCCACTCCCCTTCGCATCATGACCCAAGAGAGCAAAAGTCGGATGCCACAAGGGAGTGCAGAGGTCCTCAAGACGATTCTTCTTCGAAGGCAGAAAAGTCTACATCTATGATGGACATCGCTGAGAGAAGCCCAATTGCGGGAGACGGTTTGTCCATCTATGACGGCGCTTTCGGTTGGAGCGAAAATCAATGGGACATTCAAAACGTCAATCTCAACATACCTAAGTCTCGGCTGACAGTAATTACTGGGCCAATTGCCAGTGGGAAATCGACACTCTGCAAGGCATTTCTTGGTGAGATACCTTACGTCAAAGGCATCGTCAAGATTTCATCTGGAACGGGCATTGGATTCTGTGATCAAACGCCATACTTAACCAACACGACCATCTACGAAAACATCATTGGAAGAAGTGCCGTTAACGACGCCTGGTATAAGACCGTTATCAGGGCAGTGGACCTAGAGACTGACTTCGAAAGGCTTTCGAGTGGGGACCGCACCCTTGTTGGGAACAACGGAGATGCACTGAGCACGGGGCAGAAACAGCGGGTGGCAATCGCTCGAGCTGTGTACGCAAGAAAGCCCCTTATCATCCTGGACGATGTCTTCAGCGGAATGGATAACGTGACCAAGACCTGTATCTACGAGCGGCTTTTGAGTCCTAAAGGGCTGTTGCGCCACCTAGAGACGACGGTGATCTTGGCTTGCTCTGATCAGGATCTGTGTCTTGCTGCGGACTTAGTGGTGGAACTTGCACCTGGCAGACCTCCTGTTGCCATCCACCCTGCCTCCAGGACGAAGTCTGACTATCACGCGGAGGGACAACAAGAAGCAGTTGGTATCTCGAAGATTTCCAATGCCCTTGATATCATACAAGCCAAAACGGATCAGACTGCCGTGAGTGGAGCAGTACAGAAGCAAGCTTCCAAAGCGCCCAGTGATTGGGCAACTTACGGCTACTTCGCCCGAGCTGTAGAAACCCCGAACACGGCGTTGCTGATATTCCTCGGCGGAGTCTTCGGGACACTATACACGTTTCCCTCTGTGTGGGTGAACTGGTGGACTACGGATCCTGCAGCCCGAGACAGTTTCTATTTTGGCATCTATGCCTTACTGCAGGCCACGGGTCTTATCTGTTGGTTTCTCTTCACTCGCCATTGCCTGACAACGGTAGTGTCTAGGTCGGGAAAAAAGCTGCATAACAGCCTTCTATCGACGGTCATGTCAGCCTCATTTCCTTACCTCAGTACCAAAGACTCAGGGACCATCATCAATCGATTTTCTCAGGATCTCCAGTCGGTCGATGGCGAACTGCCAGCTGCTCTGCTCAACACGGTGGCGACTGCATTCATCGCCTTAGCCCAAGTCGCTTTGGTCGCCACTGCAAGTCCGTGGTTAACGATTTCATACCCGTTTCTGATACTTGTCTTTTACGGTATTCAACGGTTCTATCTTCGAACATCGCAGCAACTTCGGCCTCTTGATATTGAACTCAAAGGCCCTCTGTAGTAAGTGATACGCGCCATCCATCTTGGAATTCTGCGGCGAATTTCCTGACACAACCTCCCCGTAGTACACATTTCTTAGATACCTTACGAGGCATTACCACAGTCCGAGCTTTTGGATGGTCTCAGCAATACGTCGAACGCAACCAGCAGCTTCTCGACGCATCCCAGCGTCCCAACTACCTACTTCAGATGATCCAGCAATGGCTTTCACTGGTTTTGAACGTGGTAGTCGTGGTCATAGTCACACTTCTCGTGACCCTTAGTCTCAAGCTTCGATCAAGCCTTGGGCTCACTGCAGTTGCTCTGGTTAATTTGATGTCTCTTAGTCAAATGCTCCGATCGGTTGTGATTGGATGGGCGCTTATGGAGACATCAATTACTGCGGTTGCAAGGATCAAGGAGTTTGAGCTGACGACTCCGAGAGAGAACGACTTGAACTCCGAGGGAGCCATGATCCATGGGGCGGTTTCGGGCAAGATTGAGTATAAGAACTTGACAGTGTCATATGGGTAAGCAGAGGCCTCATGACAACCTGGATTCTGTATGCTGACTGGGTATGTCAGCCTGAGTAACGAGAACCTTGCACTCAAGAATGTCAACTTGGTCATCGAAGCAGGACAGAAAATCGGCGTATGCGGCCGGAGTGGAAGGTCAGTGGCACTGTGCGGTTATCTTTCACACACATAAGCCCTCGGGTTAACACATCCACAGCGGGAAGTCGTCATTGGTTGCATCTCTCTTCCGATTGCTAGATGTTCGACAAGGAAAGATTGTCATCGATACAAACGACATCAATGATTATTCCTTATCAAACCTTCGATCAAACATCAACGCCATCCCGCAAGATCCCTTCATCACTAGTGGAAATTTCCGCGAGGTTCTTGATCCTTATGGAGCATCGCCAGATCATGCAATTCAAGAAGCCCTCCGTAAGGTAAAGCTATTCGAATACGTGCAGAGCCATGGAGGTCTTGAAGGGAGTGTGAAGTCTGAGTCACTTAGCCATGGGCAAAAGCAGCTGCTATCCCTTGCAAGAGCCATCCTGAGGCGTTGCAGCATCGTCGTTCTGGACGAAGTCACCAGCAGGTGAGTATTGGAAACAGAGACTACAATTACCTCTCTTTAAGCTTGTCGTCATTATTTTGAAGTCTAACTCGATTTCCCCACAATAGCTTGGATTTAGAGACGGAGCAACTCATATGGGACGTCTTGCAGGAAGAATTTAGGGGGTGCACCATCGTTGCTATTGCGCACAGACTAGAAACAATTGTCAGCTTCGATCGAGTTGCTGTCATGGACGAGGGAATATCATCGAATTCGATGATCCTCGCGTTTTGTTGGAGGATGTTAGCTCGGCCTTTTTCAAGCTGCGAAAGACGGGCCAAGCGCACTGAAGAAACTGCGATCCAAGAAATAACAAAATGGACCGCTCAGTGAAGTGGGTGTGGGTGAGCTTCGATGGTGATAGGATCTCCGCGGCATTAAGGTATTAAATTGAATGAAGTTGGATGAGACCACTGGGGAAGGACTGTTTAGTTTCTTTTTTTGCATTACCATCACTTAATACTGGCCATCACTATACACGAAGTCCGAAACGAGTGTAACCCAGCACAAGTCTGCCTACATGCAACGTTCGCGTCTAACGTTATAATGCTCTAGCCATTGAAGAAAGCCTGCTTAGCCGGTGTGGGCAATCACTGGGCTTCATAATTCTGAGGGGAATCGACCCTGGCCTTACGCGGTGACACGGCTGACTGGCTACTTTCAATTCATGATAACGGGCGGGCGGGGCGTCCGGCCGATGCGGCCTCGGGCATGGCACCCGGTGCGGGGTTGGTAGGGACGCCCAGTCGGATGAGGGTCCCAAGTCAATACCATCAACTTCACGTGTTATTTAGGAAGCACGTTGGATGTACAATTGTCTCTCAGAAGGCACCGTATGTCACATCTGTCCTGCTGTTAATCTTGATTCGATCTCCGGCCTGCTGACTGGTGGTGCGTGATTGCCTCTTTCGCAGGCAGCGGCGAACCCTTTAGACCATTGTTTGCTCGAGCCAAGCTGGATACATGTGTTGATGAAACTAGGAGTCTCCTGCCTGATGAAGTGATAGCGGAGATCTATCCTATTGGGCCGCTTGGAATGGGCTGCCTTACATGGCATGGAATTCTGACCACATGTAGTTCTCAAAGACAGGGCGCTCCTCGTATCCCGTTTCATTCTTCCCCGCAAATGACGAGCAGGGATGATTCGCTACCCCGGATCTACTGGAACGGGGGGAGGCAATTACAGTGAGTGCAAAGAGCTCGTATGCAGTGTGCTTTTAGCCGTTGGTAGTAGATCAGTATGTGTGTCGAACTTTGAAATAAGAGTCAATTCGCGCCCGCGAATTCCCATCTAATTCTTAATCTTCTCGCTTGTAAATTTCTTTTTTTAGGAAATCTGACTTGCGAACAATCACACCAAAGATGGCTGTTGAAAAGGTTGTCCCGACAGCCAAGGAACTTGAGCAATTCGATCTCAGTGATGCCCGCACTGTCGAGCTTATTAACCGTGCTCAAGAGGGAGATGCCGCCGATCGCAAGCTCACCGTCCGTCAGGCTCTAGTCAAGTATAAGAAGGCAGTTTGCTGGGCCTTATTCTTGTCTACCAGTCTTATTATGGAAGGATACGATCTTGTTATTGTGGGACCCCCCAAGGTACCCGCACGAGTCGTTTCGCACTCGGCTGACATATGACAAACAGATTACTTCCTTCTATGGACAGACACAGTTCAAGAATCGTTTTGGTGTGTTTGATGAGGGAAGCGGCGAGAAGCTCATCCCTCCTGAGTGGCAATCCGGACTTTCGAACTCGGCACTGGTTGGGCAGCTCGCAGGCCTGGTCGTGAATGCCTGGTGTCAAGACAGATTCGGGGCGAGGCACACAATGATGTTTTTCATGGCATGGATGGCGGTGATGATATCAATTCCTTGTTTCGCGCCATCCTTGCCGGTGTTGGCCTGGGGCGAAGCCATGTGCGGCGTCTCGTGGGGTGTCTTTCAGGTATTTGAACCGTCTTGCCTTAACATTGCAACTCATTACTAACCTTCGGGCTCCAGACACTAAGTACAACATACGCTTGTGAGGTCGTCCCAACCGTCCTTCGGCCGTATGTCACAGCCTACGTTTGCATGTGTTGGGGCGCCGGTATCTTGCTCTCGGCTGGTGTTGTTCGAGCTGTCGCCAGCATCGATGGCGACATGGGCTGGCGGCTTCCATTCCTTCTTCAGTGGGTATGGCCCGTCCCTCTGTTCATCGGGGCGTACTTTGCTCCCGAGTCCCCATGGAACGCTGTGAGGCGTGGTAAATTCGACACCGCTCGGGAAAGTCTTGTCCGCCTTCGACAAGACACCACGGAACGCGAAGCCGAAGTTGATGCTTCGCTGGCGTACATCAGACACACCACGGCACTTGAGGAGGCCGAAACACACGGTGCCTCGTTCATTGAGTGTTTCAAAGGGACCAATCTGTGGCGGACTGAGATTGTGAGTTTACACTTAACACCCTAATGTCGGAGCCATAATTCTGACATTGATTCTCCCGGAGAACTGCGTTGTTTGGGCTGCCCAGATCCTAGGTGGCAATGCTCTAGTAGCTTATGGAGTGACCTTCCTTCAAGCCGCAGGCTTTTCGGAGATCCAATCTCTCAACCTGAACATCTCCTTGTCTGCATGCTACGTCATTGGTGGCATTATATGCTGGTTTCTGTTTCCTCATATCGGACGTGCGACGCTCTACATGAGTGGTTTGACATTCCTATTTTTCTGCAACATTGTAATCGGAGGACTCGGATTCACGAAGGATGCAAAAGCTCAGATTGCGATTGGCGTCATTCTGGTTGTCTCAACTCTGGTCAACATGGTCACGGTCGGACCTGTCTGCTACCCTATCGTTGCGGAAACACCATCCGGGAGACTCCGTTACAAGACCATCGTGATCGGTCGCTTCGTCTACAACGTCACAGGTATTGTCGAACACACCCTCACCCCTCGAATGATTTCTCCGATTGGTAAGTCAAACAGTAATCAGAAAGATCCCACCATCTTCAGCTAATCGAAATCAGGATGGAACTGGGGAGCGAAGGCTGGTTTGTTTTACGCTGGAACTAATCTCGTTTGCAATACGTGGTGCTATTTCCGTCTTCCCGAAACCAAAGACCGAACATTTGGTGAACTTGATATTCTCTTCGAAAACAAGATTCCCGCGAGAAAGTTCAAGTATACCACTGTCGACCGTGAGTGAAACACCTTGCGGAGAATTTGACGACCAAGCTAATGTGGCGCAGAATTCGCCGGAAGAAATGAAATCGTTGGCAAGGAGGAAGACATGGCCTAAATTTTGTCGCGCGTGCAGTTCGATGGGTTCCAAATAGGACTGTCAGGATGGAACTTGATGTTTATTTATGGGCATTTCCTTTTGTCCCATGTTTCTGAGGATGCGAATTCCACAAGCAAACTATGTGTGAATATCCGGCGGGGACTGCTTCCTGCTGACCGGATGATCTTTTTTGGCTCCTCCGTTATTCTCAATTTGTAAAGCCCATCTGGGTTGTCTCGGGGATGCTCCGTTACTTCTCCCGATCCCGTCAGCCCATGCTGTGCCTGGCCTCGGCACACATTAACTTATGTGATAATCCCGCAATGGCGCCGTGGCCTAGAGCGGGGCATTCCGCAATTTTCTCCGTCAGTTACAACGAGACCGCACACATCTCGATGGTACATATTAATTTCTTTTGACTTCGGAATCGTAATCCCTAGCTCTGGCACGCGACGCCTGTTAGAAGCATCAGAACTCGAATTCTAAATTCCTACCATCCTTTAGGCCTTCTTGACAGCACCTCAACAGTTGGAGATGGCTTCACTCTTAGGTTTTAAAGCCTATGACGGCCCCTCAGGTGTCCCTATTAACGATGAGTTTGTGGTGAAAGTCCGCCCCACATTACTTGGCAGCACTGAGAAGCAGCAATGGACTCGCGTGCCAGCATACGCCATTGAGGTCGCCAACGCCAACATCGCACGGAACGACTTCAATAGACATACAGTGGCGTTATCATCAATTGATGTCAACGGCCCTGTCGATATCAAAGTAACCTTTACGACTTGCCCCGTTGAAAAGGCCATCATCCGCCCGGTTTCCCTCGGCATCGAGACTCAAGTTCAGGAGGGGGAGATCACATTCACACTCCACGAGTCTCGCGATATCATGCTTGAAATTAACGATAACAAATGGAAGGCTTTGCACTTGCTCACCAACGAGATTGATGCGAACGCACCGACACAAGACAATGATGATATCTGGTACTTCGGGCCCGGGATTAATCAAGGGACCGCTTACTCAAAGGTCACCGACGGAGTCAACTTAATGGTACCGTCAGGCAAGACCGTCTATCTTGCCGGTGGTGCATTCATCACCTGCAGACTCAACTTTTTCGACGTTTCCAACAGTTCTGTCAGAGGTCATGGCTTCATTCTCAGCCCGAAAGGCGGATACGTCCACAGGGAGCATGGCGGGGCGATTCACATGAGCAACGCAAACAACATCCTGGTGGAGAAAGTTACGTCAATTGGGGCCAATGGCTTCAGTCTGTCGGCCGGAGAATGCGATGGTGTTCGTGTTGACGGTTACCGGTCGTTTTCTTTCGCTGCCAACGGCGATGGAATCGACTTCTTCTGCTCATCAAACATCGTTATTGAGAACTGCTTCTTGCGGAACTCAGACGATACCATTGCCCTCTATTCCCATCGCTGGGACTGGTACGGCGACTCCAAGAACATTACAATCCGAAACTGCGTGCTATTGCCAGAGATTGCACACGCCATTAATATGGGTACGCACGGGAATCCCGCCAGACCGGAGACGACAAGCAACATTCGCATAAGCAATATCGACATCTTGGATCACGAGGAGAATCAGCTGTGGTATCAGGGATGCATCGCCATCAACGCTGCTGACGAGAACCTCTTTCACGATATCCACATAGAAAATGTCAGAGTTGAGAGGATCACGAAGGGTCAGTTGTTCAACCTTCGTGTCATGGAGAACACGATGTGGACGACAGCGCCAGGGAGGGGGATCCGGGATGTTGTCTTCAAGAACATTTCACTCGACATGGAACGCTCCAAGGTTGTCAACCCTGCACAGATCCTGGGTTACGATCAACAGCGGCAGATAGAGAACGTCAAATTTCAAGGGCTTAGAATTGGGGGTCGAGAAATCCACGAGGGTATGGAGATGCCCGGGTGGTACGTGGTCGCGGACTTCGTTCCTGTCTTTGCCAATGAGCATGTCAAAGGGTTATCGTTTGAGAGTTTGACGTCTTAGAATGGACCTTGAGGTTTGTACGTTGCAGCTTGCTACCAAGTATGTTTTCTCATCCATTGGACAGTCTCAATATTTAAAGTAGACATTACGGAGCCAGCTACTTCCAATACTTGTAGTCATGACTTAGACACATCTAAACGATGATGCGACATCTGGACCCCCCCCTACGTAATGTTGAATGCTGGGATAAATGCAGATATCTCTCTCTACGTGAACACCAAGGCCATTTGCGCCAGAGGCTCGCAGCGTGTCTGGGGCCACACCATCTTCTACCCAGTGAATAATTGGGTCCATGGAGAAAGGCGGGCTTGGTCCGCAATTGAAGCAGTGTCCAGCACCTGGAGCCACAAAGAACCGATAATAATCGTGGGCCTCCGGGTCCTTGGCCAATACACGATCGTAGTAGTCAGTGCTTCCATTAAAGGGAATCGCAGCGTCCACAGTCCCGTGCCAGTTGATCATTCTGCCGCCCCTTCGTTTGAATGCTGATAGATCAGGGTCTGAGGTTCCGATGATGGAGTCGAATTCGTTGATGGAGGCGTGGACAAGGTCGTCCCATTCTCGGTGTGTGATTTTGCTGATGTCAAAGGACGGGTCCTTCTTCACCCAATAATGTACCCAGACAGGGTTGCCCTCGGCTTTGCAGGAGTCCTCGGTGCATTTGATTTGTATAGGCCCGGTGATTGCTTGGGTCAAGTCTGTCCCCTTCCCGTAGCCATACCATTGAAACTCGTCCGTAGAGCTTCGAGGCCCATCCCATGCTGCCTGGGTAACATCCGCAGCCGCAGAGGATACAGAGACCTCGGTACCGTCGCAGTCAACGATGCTGCCAACGACTTCGTGAGGATCAAATTTGCAGAGATCAAGTCGAGAGATGATGCCGTCTTCCACCCCATCAAGCTTATCACAAGCAAACATGACTGCGGCTGTAATGGCCTCAAACTCGCATGGCTTGGGGTACACGCCCATTTTATCCATCACAAACTTCGGCCAGTAGCTAGCCCAGAAGAACTTTACCCAGTTCGTGGCAGGGAACAGAGCAATAATTCCATCGTAGTCCTGTGGGTACCTTTGTGCAAGCATATGGCCTTGTCTACCACCTGTAGAGCCGCCAAAGAAGTATGAATGCTTTGGTGACGTGCCATAGAACGCTTTGGTGACGGCTTTGCCAATGGTGGCCGTATCGTGCAGTGCGACCGAGGCGAAGTCCACGAGAAGAGGCCAGTTGACATTTCCGGGGCTAATAAGGGCCCATGGCGGATCGTTGGCCTCAGGGCCAAGAACGTCTGAGGAGTGTCCGCCGTCGGTGGTAGCAGTTGCATGGCCTGACGCCATGATTGGCATCATCAAGAACCCTGCTACCTCACCACCCCCGGTGGCGAGATTGCCTCCGCCGACTCCTGTGAACCTGCCATTCCAATCATCGGTAGGAAGTAAGGTGTTCACATTGATGGTATCGTGCCAGCCGGGGTGCGTGTATGTGACGGTGACGTTACAGAAATTCAGATCTGGGATGGGCTTAGAGCCTGGCAGGCCTGCTCCGAATATCCCCGGAACGTATGTGTAATTGCGCTCTTCGTAGGCTTCAATCGATAGTATCTTGATTCCGGTGAGGTCAGGGAGGGGTATCCCTGACGGGCTGCACCTGATGTTGGACCCCATAGACACCTGGGAAAGCCATTGGCTAGCCCATGACGACGGATCCCATCCGCCTCCGAGCAATTCCCACGCCATCTTGAAAGTGCGAAATATCTGATCGAGAGTACGATGCTTCAGTGAGAGGGAGTGTTTAGAGGTGCGATCATATCCGAGAACTGCATCATTCCTGAATACTTCTATGCATGGGAAGGAGAGCTTCTCCCCAGCAAATCATACCCCAAAACGAGGAAATAGAGGTGGTACAAGCATCACGTGGGCGGACTGTGTGTCACGTTGTAGCCTCGCCAGGATATGAGACATCATGGTTTATTCGCATGGCCTCTTATTGGATCATTAATAATTCATACATACTGATGGTAAGACCAGCTTAGGGATTCCGGGATGAATGAACACGCGGGGGTTGCAGTTGCAACAAGGAAGGGGCATTCTACCTACCTATCCATGGATGTGAAATTGGGCCTAGCTCCTACATGTTGAAAAGTGTGTCTGGTGTCAGAGGGGAACTGCTCATTACTGAGCGGGGCCGCCGGATGATCGGGGGAATGCTCGGCCTCCTCCGTGCCAGTTCTCGGGAACTGCGACATTGCGGGCCGAACCGCGTTCCTGACCCCGGGGTGACAGCGGGGAAACGTGGGGTAAATGGCGGAGAAGTGCGCAGCTTTCCAGGCCTAATGCAGGCCTCGAATCAAATACGGTCATGAAGAAAGAGGTTAAAAGGCTTCAGTCGGCTATTGGATGTCACGCAAGAAACGTCAAGTCTCATTTTGACTCGTTTTCTAGAGATCGAGATTTTTCCCATCAGGTTCAATCATGAAAGTCAATAATCTTTTTCTCGTCCCGGCTATCTTTCAGAGCTTTGTCTGTTGGGCCTCTCCAGCTGCTGGACCAAATCCGGGATCCGTCGGGTTTGTCCATCCTGGAGCACTACACAGCACCAAGGACTTCAACAGGATCAAGAAACACGTTCAAGCCCAGGATCAACCCTGGTACCGTGCTTGGCAACACCTCGAATCATCAAAGCTCGCTCAAACCACTTGGGTTCCGACTCCTCAGACTGTTCTCGTTCGTGGCTCGAACGCGACGTTCACCGAGCCAAAGGCAAACTACGGATACGCATATCGTGACGCTCATTCAGCATATCAGCTAGCTCTCCGCTGGCACATTGGGGGCAACGTCTCTTACGCCGACCACGCTAGAGAAATCTTGGATGGTTGGAGTTCAACTCTGACCGACATCAACGGAACCGAAGACAAGTATCTCGCTGCGGGCTTGTACGGCTATCAGTTCGCGAATGCTGCAGAGCTACTGCGCACATACTCGGGCTGGTCTAAGGACAGCCAAATTGTCTTTGGCAATATGCTCCGCAACGTCTTTGCCAAATACAACCACGACTTTCTCGAGCACCACTACAACAAACCAAACTTCTACTATGCCAATTGGGATCTTTGCAACATCGCGTCTCTGATGTCGATTGGCATTTTTACTGAAAACCGGACAATGTACGATTATGCTGTCAACTACTTCAAAAACGGTTTACCCGGGCAACCCGAGGTCGTTGCCAACGGTGCACTTCCTTACTTCTCAATCGCAAACTTCACCGAGGAGGACTCAGGAAAGACTCTGATGCAGATGCAAGAGTCAGGCCGTGACCAAGCCCATGCCCTTTTGTGCATCTCACTGCTTGGCGTTATCGGTCAGCAGGGTTGGAATCAAGGCGTCGACCTGTACTCAACTTACGGCCATCAGATTTTGAACGCGTAAGTGATTTCCAACCTAGTAAATAGAAAGCGATGGATTTGGCTGATTTTCGCATCAAAAAGGGCTGAATATGTGGCCAAATACAACACGAATCACTCCGTGCCGTATACTCCCTACACAAGTTGGGAAGGGGTGTTGGAGGTTGTCGCAGAAAAAGCTCGTTACGACGTCCGACCCGGATACGAAGCTCTGTATTCACACTATGCAGAGTTGAAGGGTATGAATGCATCTTGGTCACTAGAGTATCGAGAATTCGTCAACCGCAACATCACCGCCCATGTTGAGGGCGGCGGCGGCGACTACAGCCCAAACTCCGGAGGTTACGACAGCTTGGGTCACGGGACATTGATGTATCGACTGACCAAAGAGGATTAGGTCTAGATTATTTCTATTGGTATTCAAGGGGTATTTGTCTAGTGTCTAGATGCGAATTATACAGGGTCTATGTGATGCTCTCTTAGGCGAATCGAAAACCTTGGTGTACTACTCGTTATCAGTAACACTGATAACGGTAGACTTGAACTTCCTGGCAGAGATCTTGCGGTTGAACAAGATATCAGTCTCGCGGTAAGAGCGGTGCTTGAGCTCAGGAAGACCGAAATATGCCAGAACCCAGCAGACAATAGCGGTTCCACCCCAGACGTAGCCGCACTTTCCAGCGACGTTCCACCCGGTAGGATTCAGGAGCTGAGAAGCCAGGTAAATCATGGGGATCTCGGCGACGTAGTAGGCAGCGCGGCCGACAGCAGTGGAAAGCGCACGGAGACGGACGGCGGAAGTCTCGGCAATGATGGTGTAGGAGATAGGGCCAAGAGTACCGGCGAAGACGAAGGAGATCAAGATACCTAAGACGGCCTGAGCGTAGTTGGTAGCGCTGGTTTGCTCGATGGAAGCGCAAATGCCAAGGATGATGAGGAGAGTAACGTTGGTGGCGGTACCCCAGAGGTAGATGGTGCGGCGACCGAACCAAGCAGTCAGCGGCCACGAGAGAACGTTGGCGATGAACTGCAGGCAAGAGTTGATAAGGTTCAGGTCGAAGGCGCGGTCGTGGCCCATGCCAGCCTGCTCAAAGAAGAAGGTAGCCTGGTTGGCAATCAAGTTACCGGCGAAGTTTTGCGAGGCGTACATCAAGCAAGTGATGGTGGTACGTCGGAGATCAACGCCCTTGAACAAGTCGAGAAGGGTGGGAGAACCGCCCAATTGAGACTCAATCTCGACGGTACGCTCAATCATCGCATACTTCTGCTGGTTCTGCTGAATAGTAGCATTGGAAGGACCAAGGCGCTTGATGGAGCGAAGTGCCTCGTCCTTGCGGCCGCGGCGGATGAGCCACCATGGCGATTCAGGAGCGAAAAAGAGGATGACCATGAGGGGAGTCTGCATGAAAGTAGCGTCAGCTTCGGCAGATCAACGGTTGACAGGCTGGGCGGCTTACGGGGAAGATCCACTGCAGGGCGAGAGGCGCACGCCAAGCCCATTCATCATCACGCTTGTTGTAGCCAAGAGTGGCACCAGCAACGACGATGGAGCCAATCGACCAGGACATCTGCAGGGTAGCAGTGCATGCACCTCGAAGGGCGAGAGGAACGATTTCAGATGCGTACGCAGGACCAATGGCAATGAAGAATCCCCAAGGGATACCCTCCAATGCCTGTCCAACGGTGAGGACCTCGAGGGATTGGGCCTGAATAACATGTTGTTAGGCAACAGAGGGAAGAAATATTGTTGTGGCGTGACTTACGAAGAAAGAGATGAAGATGGTGGCGTTCATGAGGATCAGTGCAAAGATGGTGGTCCACCGGTAGCCGAACTTGTTGACGACAGGGCCAGCCAAGAACACACCCACAAAAGCACCACATTGACCAGCCTGGAAGAGAGCGCTCTGCCACTTGGTCTCAATAGCGTAGCCATCAGCAACCTGCACACCGTATCTCTTCTGGAAAGCCGCTTGGGCGACGAAATTGCCGTTCAAGAACATGTCGAAGGACTCCATGACCTGTACGAGATCGGTCAGTAATTGCCCAGAGCGAGTGTCGCGCGGCGAGTCATGTCAAAGGACTTACGATGGTGAAGCACATGATGAAGGCCCAGAAACAAGCTTTCGGGTGGGTCTTGACGGCCTCCCAAAGACCCTGCTGGTGCTCCTGGTTTTCGCCGTCAAAGGCATCGTTCATGAGGTCGTTGTCAGCCAGGACTTTGGAATTGGCAACGTCAACGTGGTGCGCGCCATGGCCGGCATCGTGCTTCTCGTCAATGCGAGCATCTTCGCTGCTGCTGTTGACGCGGGGGGCGTTGTGCCCGTCGTCAGTGACACCCGTTGACATCTTGGAGCCTTGAGCGGTTGTGCTGGGCCAAATGGTAGCCAAGGGAACGCCAAGAGTGATTTACAAGCCAAGAGGAAATAAGAAGAGGCCAAGAAGAATGGCGTAGCCAAGAAATACTGAGAATTGGGGGAGAGTTGGGGTAAGAGTCTTATGTACTGCCATTGGCGCATCTGCGGATCAAGCTCACTGTCATAGCATCAACATGTCGCCTTCCATTGGTGCGCGTAATGTGTGTTTAGGAATGCACCGGATGTCGTGTGGAGTAAGAGACAGATCCCTGTTGCTGTCTGGGGTTGCTGAAGCGTTATGATAGGTGGGAGATTTCTGGCGTGCGGAGGCGGGGAATGGAGGTTGGGGAATAGAGGGGAAATTGAGGAGGACTGGAGGAGGACTGGATGTTTACCCCTGCCTTTGCGGCTCCGCCGGTTGGGGTTCGGCCTCCTCTTGTTGTGCGTGTGAGAGAGCGAATTCTCTCCATCGCCGTGGGCCGGGAACACGGTGTGGAACTTCACCCCGTTGTTTGAGAGCTCGGCTCGGAGCATCGCACCCAAATCAGGAGACACTAGCAATTGCAGACAGGTTTCGGGCCCAACACGTAGCCAAAGACATGTGACTGAGCTGCTGAAGATAGGGCCGATAGGACCGCTTCTGCAGGCTTGACAGTTGAAATTTTAGGTTCAGATTCGCATTAGAGAGGTTCTGCTACAGACATGCGATTTTGGCATTGTACCTCCTGATGGCCCGAGTGCGCTTCGAGAACTTCGACCTCACCCGCAATTGATGAGCCTATTAACATTCCCCTCTCAGCCGGAAGCCCGGGAGCAAGCCATATGGCTTTAGCCACTAATCCGATTACCGGCCGAATGAGAATCTCATGCTACCCGCCGTCGCCAGACCTACATAGATGAGCGCGGGGCCAGATGCAACCCTCACATGCGGGGTTTGAAGAACCAGACCGCTGATGGCTGAGGGTTCCGTGTTGATCAGCAGCTG